GGCTTGTCATATTGATATGTTGGTAAAAATCTACAAAGTAGTAAAATTGTTCAGTGAGACAATTGTCTAGAGAAGAAGCAGCACACCTCTAATGCTGAAATAGTTGAGTTGAAAACTCTCAACTGCTTTCCCCTTCCCCCTGTGAGGCTACTTACACTCTGGGCCTCTAGAGAAAGCTTTCTCTTTTTATATCCTCTCCTGCCTTTCCCTGCTCAGTGTATTTTTTGTTTTATAACTCTTCATCTTTTTTTTTTTTCTTTCTCCCTTTAATTGGATACTAGGAAGTAAGATGATTGTAATGAACTTGGGTAAGACAAATTACAAACCAAAGAAATAATGATAAGGTATGGTAGCACAGTACACCCGGAGAACAAAATGTATTTTACTTAAATTTTTGTGGTTTCTTTATTTGAAATTCTACTCAATTATCAAGCGCAAAGAATGTGTTTGTCTACTGTATGTGAAAGAGAAGTGATTTCTCAGAGATCTAGCCTGTTAATGAGGAATAAAGCTGTTAAATCTCATTTTGAGTTTGAGAGAATAAACTTATATGTAGTATTTTTTATTCATATACATATGTATTTCTAGCTGTACATGTATGCAGAACCTAGTCATTATGCCTGTGACGTGAGGGAGGGCATGTCACATGCAGTTGATTTCCAGAAGAGCTCAGTCTTACTGGTAGCTAATCTCAGACAAGAGTCCAGGGTATGGTGCAAAACATTCATTTTCTTGTTCCCATAAGACAGCTAGCTCTTAAGCTGTGGGCCCTGTACTGGCAGCATCAGTTTTCTGTAGGAACTTCTTAAAAATGCAAATCATAGGCTCTGCCCTAGACCCACTGCATCTGAAATTTTAGGAACAGGACCTAGCTCTCTGTTTTATCAAATCCTCAAAGTGAGTGTGATACATCCTAAAACTGGAGAAGCACTGAGAAAGGCAGTCTTTCAGGTCTTGCAGATCTGCCAGTGTGGATGGGCTCCCCAGAGGGCCTGCCCCCTCACGTTTTCTTCCTTTCTGGTCTAGCTCCCTTCACTACCCGCAGTGTCCTGACTCAGTCCTGTCTCAGAAGGAAAGTGAAAGTGTTAGCCATTCAGTTGTGTCAGACTCTTTGAGAGTCCATGGACTGTAGCCCACCAGGCTTCTCTGTCCATGGGATTCTCCAGGCAAGAATACTGGAGTGGGTAGCATTCCCTTCTCCAGAGGATCTTTCCAACCCAGGGATCAATCCTGGATCTTCCACGCTGCAGGCAGATTCTTTACCATCGGAGCCACCAGGGAAGCCTCAATCTCAGAGCCCCAGTAGGAGATCCAGCTCACCAAGCTTCAGGATCTGGCTCAGTCTTGGTGGGCTCGATGGTCAACCTTTGTATTCTTCAGTGAAGAGTACTTCTGGCTCACTTGCTAGTACTGATCACTTCTAACCTTGATTCAGTGCTTTATTGTGTAAAACAGTTCACCTCCCCATAGTAATCAAGACAAGAGGATTAAGATTGCCAGCCTGTCACATGTGCTATAAGTGGGGCAGTCATGGTGGAACAATTCTGATTTATTGCCCCTTGTTCCAATACAATTAACAATACCATTCTCTTTTACTTTTGTCAGTGCTCTAGTTTAGACTGGTAGATTATATTACAGTGAACTTAAGCAGTAAGCAATTCTAACACTACTGGAAAGTGGTCAAAGAAGGCTTCACCAAAAAGGAAGTGTTTTAGGAAAGGGAGGAGTGTTTAGGAAGGAAGTGAAACATGTCCTATTATGCTAGGTGGGCAAGACAGGCAGACTGGAGATTGGGGCGGACAAGGCAGAGGAACCGTAGAGGCTGGGAGTTGAGGGCCAAATAAGGATGTGAAGCAGCAGGTTACACTAAGGGAAGCAGGGTAGTTCAGAGTCTGGAGCTGGGCTCTGGTGGGAGCAATAATAGAAGAAGCTAGTAGAAGAGGAGCTATTAAGGTAGTCTTTTAGGAGTAAGAGCAAATTTTGTTATTCCCCAATAACATATCAATTTAGGATCTTTGGATAATTATGTAGAGGAAACCTAGCATGTCTTTATTTCTTTATTTATGTTGGTTCTGTGTATTTGAAATGCTTTTTGCTCTATTTTTCCATCAATTGTGAGCTCTATTTCAAGCAACTGATTACTGTATAACACAGTATGATAATAATGTATCAATATTTTCAACTTTGATTCAGATTTTCAAATTCACTTAAAAAACACCACATGATTCACATTTCCTAATGTTTTATAACTTTATCATAGCAGACACTAACTGGACTATTGAGATCTATGACTTATTGAGAACAGAATGGAGGGAATTAAGCAGATACTTTACTCATATGTTGTATTATTGTTTTTCTGCATGTTAATATGATAAATGAATCCTCCTATTAGAAAATTATCATATAGGGATTTTTTTGGGGAGGTCACCATTTGCAGTATTAAAAATTATGTGTTTCATGTAGTTTGGGGATCTTGAAAGCTGCTACAAAGTCTATGTTCTGTGGCAAAGCTTACCTAAACTGTAAGGAAATGTTTTAAAATATTTTAAAAATTGCCTATTTGATTTTACATGACTAGTTACTCTTTTTTTTGTTGTTGATGAACATCAGAGATACATTCAGCATTAGTAGAACTTGAAAGGCTTTGCCCTGGTCATTGTATATCAACTGTCCTTCTAGGTCATTGAGTATCATTGTTTTCATTGCCTTGACTTCTTGTCACTGTCCCTCTGTTTCTACATGGACAATATAGATTTCATTTTTTTCCCCCAGAACTAATATATCTCCTTTTCCTTTTACCATCTGGAATAATAAGATAACCTTCATTATTCCATTAATTGTTGCATTTCCCTTCTATTAATACAGAATACATTTTCAGAATTAATAACTGGAAAGGAAAAAGAATAATTAATAAATTCCTACATTATCCTGTTTAAATATCACATAAGTAATTAGTATATTTATTAATACATTTAATTAGGTAAATAGGCCTTGAAGATAGGTAGCAATTAATATTATGTTTTAATTTTTAATCTGTAAGAAGCATAACTAACTGAAAAATGAGTTTAGCCTGGTATCCTGTACCAAGGCATATGTGCAGAGATATTAATTATTCAGTATGCTGCAGATTGTCTATTTTTTGTCCTACTTTATTAAAACCTCATATACTTTAAATTGAATCTCATTTCAACATGTCTGTAGAGTTAATGTCTACATGAATTCCTTAAGTAATACATTTTTCTATGTATCAACATAACTACTTACAACTCTGTTTTCTTAATAGTTTTCTGATCCCAAAATTATGTTTGTTTTGGGAGATGAGAAAGGCGCCAAATGTTATGTGAAAAACTAAGAAAGTGATATAAAATGTTTTGTAGAAACAACTAAAGGACAGGAGTTGGAGAACTCCTGTCAAAAAGTAGGATTAAAAGCCTAGGCCTGGCTTTACTCTCCACTCATTACCAGTTGAAGTTTAGAAGCCGGCTTAAGTACAAGCAGTGGCTGTGGTTGATTATAAAACCTTAAAGAGGAAAGTTTCCCCTGTATTTTAAGAACTGCCTTTTAGGTCAGAAGATAATTTGTAATATTTACTAGATAAGCAGTAAGCAAAGAATTTACCATTTTTAAAGTTTTTCAGTTCCTTTGTATGTCTTAGGACTTGTAAATCATTTTTCCAGCAATATTTCATAGTGTGAAAGTCTTGAACTCTAAGAAAACAGGAATCTCAAAACAAACAAAAATAATAAAATTAAACAACTCTATAAGCCTGTCAATTGTCTGGGTAGTTTCTGTATACCTCTGTCCTCCCTTGATTTGGTTTTCATTTGATTAATTGTATCAGATAAGGTTTAACATCATTACTTTTGCTGCTAATAAATCCTGACCTATAGAAAGCAGCCTGTTCTCTCTGCATATTTACAGCCTTAAAATTGGTCCCAACTTTTTTCGCCTTTCTTTGCCTTTAAAATGTGATTTTGGGGTAGCATCATACAACAGTTCTTGAGAGAGAGTTTTGAAGAATTGTGTGGCTTTATCTGCAATAATTTTAACCTTGCAAAGCTGACCTGAAAGTAATCTCAAAAATGTGAATTTGTGAATATTCTTTCGTGTTTAATAGTCAATCTATAAGATAATCCTAAGCCAACCTTTCTATGTTCTTTCAATAATTTTAGTGTTACTTAGATAAGGAAATAAATGTATCTTAATATGGGTAGTACTGTGCATAGACATCAGAGACAAAAACTGCTTTAAAGGACCAATAATTAAAATCAACTTGGGAATACATGTAAATCCATGGCTAATTCATTTCAATGTATGACAAAAACCACTGCAATGATGTAAAGTTATTAGCCTCCAACTAATAAAAATAAATGGAAAAAAAAAATAAAATCAACTCAACTTATTGTCATATATCTTTTTTTCCTACAAAGCAACTCTCACCTTAGAGTCTCAGAGGTTTATAGCTAATAATTAAATTTTACACTAGTGATGCAACATAATGATTATAGTGACTTACATAGGTGAAACAACTAATGTTTAAACCAGTTGATGAGTGGCTTACTGAAATATATTGTACCTGAGCTATAGATTTAGCGGAACTAACATAGTGCCTTAATCCCCACTTTGACCATCAGAAAACTAAAATCTTCCCAGAAATTTTTTTGTTTTGTTGTAGTTAAATATATATATATATATATTACACATTTGTAACATACCTTTAAATTTGTTCATTTTATTTCTTGCTTCAATAATCTATGGAGGATTTTTAAGAGAAAAAAATGTGTTAATGTAACAGATTTGGTGCACTACAATGTTCTGCAATTAAGGGAAAGGCATATAAAATATGCCTGAATAATGAGCATGCAGATATGCGGCACACATAAATCTTAGCTTTGTATCACCTTTACCACAGTTCTTACAGTTTTCTCTATAGCTGCTTTAGTTGTTTCACAGGATTACTATTTTCTAGGTTACAGCTCACTTGACTTCATGCTTTGCAGGTCAGTTTCTTCTGGAGGAAGCCCGCCTCATAGAAGCAGCTGAGATGGCGAAAAAGGCAGCTGAGCTGGACAGCACCGAGTTCGATGTTGTCTTCAATGCTGCCCACATGCTCAGGTATGGTTTTGCTAGTGTGCCTGTAAGGACTGACACTATAGCTTTAAACCTATTCAATTAATCTAATTTAATCAATTATACCAATTCCCCTTTTTGTAAGTGCCACCTTACACTACATCCCAAAATGAATTATGCTGCTTAATCATGTTAAAATCAGTTGGGTCTATTTAATTCATTATGATTTACGTGCCCAGTATATAGGGTATATGAGAGTTTAGGATTCTCTGAAAATTATCTGAGACCCTTTTCCATTAAAAAATTATTGTCCATAAAATACAAAAGGAAAACTGCAAAATTGAAATTAATAATTGTCTAATTAAATGTCTCCAAGACAGAACATTGTGTCAATTAGTCAACTGCATCTCAGTATTTGTGTTTTGTATTAATTGTTTTGAATGTGGCACATGAATACATTTTATTATGCTTGGTAGTAGAGAGGATTATCAAATATAAATATTCTGAAGGCCTATCAAATTCTCAGATGGCCCTATAATTAACACTATTGTTACGTGTTGAAGTAGTATGTTTTTAAACCTATTTATGCATCTCTTCTCAGAAAGATTGTTTTGGAGACAAATTACAATAATTCAAAACAATTAAAAGTCATATGAACAGTTTTTGTGTCAATATAAAATGAAAGTGAATGCATTAAAGGAGGATGTTTTTAAGAAACTCAAATGATTTATACAGTTGTCCCAAAAGCATTACTTATTCTATTAGCCATGTATACACCCCTTCTCAGGTGTGGTTACTTGAAATCCACTCTAAAAATCTCCATGCAGATGCTTCCTTAGGTAACATTCCCACTATGGCTCAGAGCCTGGCTTCTGGGAAGTTTCTGATTACATGGATCACTCTTACCTGGGAAGAAGAATAACAGAGAACTGGTCCACCTTTGGATGATTTTAAAAGATGGACTTTTGAGAAAAATTGAGAAACATTTAAAAATAAAATTTTTTGAGATGATTGTAGATTTGCATGCAGTTAAGAAACAACACAGAGATATCCCTATACAATTTATCCACTTTCCCCAATGGTGATATCTCGTAGAACTACCATACAGTATCAAAACTGGTATTTTGACATTGATACTAATCTACTGGTTTCCCCAGTTTTACTTATACTGTTGTGTGTATCTGTGTGTATTTAGTTTTGTGCACTTTTATTACACATATCAGTTTGTGTATCCATCATTCCAGTCAAAATACAGATGATTTCGATCACCATAAGCATCCTGTCCTTTTATAATCACATACCCACCAGGAACCAATATTTAAAGCAAGCTTTATAAATTACTTTGAGATTTTATTTATAATTTGATATTATTAATGTAACTATATCTCAGTGGTTTCCTCCTTGGCTTTTAATAAATTTTTAATAAGAAATTCAAAGTCTGAGAGGAAAAAGAATACTGTGAGGTTTCAGTTGAATACCCTCATTTCACATTAATGCTTAGCATTCCTAAAGCGGATACTTTCAAAGAGAAATCATGATTCAATAAACTATTGGTATAATTTTAAAATAAATTGTAACCAGTTTGCAAGAACCTTCAATGGAAGGATAATTTTTTTAAAAGACAAGTTTAATGTGCATGACAAGGTCAGGTGCTGTGATGGGAAGGGGACTTTTTGTTCTTCATGAATAAAACACTATGCTTTTAGTCACAGTAAACCATTTACAAGAATGTGCACACATAAGTTTCTAGATGCTAATTCATCTTAATCATAATAGATACTTTCATCAACAAGACATTTTGCTACATACTAAATCAATATCTGAAATTCAAGGTCTACCAATGTTCATTATAAGAACAAATACAAAAAAGGTCCTTGTTAAATATATCACTTGTAATTTTTCCTTAGTTACCGTAGTGCTATAAACCAGTGGAAAGCTTTGTAATACATTGGCAGCATGGAAATTCTTAGGATTTATTTTTCAAAGCCTTCTCTCTGGCTTTCTGCAGTATGCATTCCTTATCAAGTTGCATTCAGTCAGTGCCTTTCTATCATGATTGCAAGAATGACCACCACAGCCTGCCCATATCCTATTCAGCTTGGTGGCAGCTCCTATGAATGTTTTTGCTTATTTTTTCAGCTCTGTCAAATTCAAGTATTTCTTGAATGCTTACTGTGCAAGCTGAACACCAACCTCTTCCCTTATTAATCAAGAACATTTAGAGGTTTTCTGAAAAATAATAAGAAAGGCTAATGGTTTTCCCTTGAATGCAGCCTTATCAAAATGGTTAGCTGTCAAGATTTTGCTTATTAAGTGTTGCATCTAATATTTCCCTTGGTGATGCCACATTGTGGTAGATTGAGTTTGATGTAAATTTTTCTTCAAGAACTCTGTTCTTTCATAAGATATATAGGAGACAGTATTGCAAGGTTTGGTGATGAGTTGGATGTGAGGGAAAGGGCAGAAGTCTCCCTGGATGTGTCTTGAATTAATGGTTGACCTAAGATCCAAAATCAGCAATTTAGGAAATGTTAGAATGTTCAAGACATGATTTGAAGCATCCTCATTTAACTTCCTTTTCCTAGACTAATTCCCAGTGAGTTGACCCAAGGAATCTATTAATAGATAAAAAGCTGCTCATCACAAAAGCCAAAAAAGAAAAGAGGAAAAAAAAATTATCCCCCCAGAAGAAACTAGATTGGAAGAGCCCATCAAGGGGAAAATCTTTATCTTATTCAGACCTTAAAGAGGCTAGAAATTTGCAAAATTTCTAACAGACTCATTTTAATTCTCAACAATAGACAAAGATCTTTTTCTGTAGAATTAGAACATTTCTAATTAACCCACTCCAGTATTCTTGCCTGGAGAATCCCATGGACAGAGGAGCCTGGCAGACTACAGTCCATGGGGTTGCAAGAGTCGGACACAACTTAGCAACTAAACCACCACCACCAATTTCTATTGTCAAGGTGATTCACAAGAGCACTATGTGGTATGGAAGTATTAATGCTGCTCACCAAAGATACTTGGGCTTCTGACTTCAAGAAACATAACGGGACTGCACTTTCTTGACTTCTCCCAAGTTGAAAGCCTCCCTGGGTCTTTTTGGGTCACTGAATGTGTGTGAATGTGATATATGTTACTTTCAAGCCAAAGTTGTAGGAGTCAGTGGAAATAGATCCTGAAATAATCAATGGGAGACAAACCTCCTTTCTCACCTGCGTTAGATAGGTTGAATGAGTGCAAAACAAATTTTATCCCTTCACTGAGATTTAAGATGTGTCTATTATTGAAGTGTAATCTAATCTGTCTGAACTGAATATATCTGTGAAAATAAAACAGGTCGTTGAAAAGACGAATCATGTAATGTCAGAAAAATTTACTCAGTGATTAATAGGATCTCTGAGTTTATAACTACAGTGGAGGCAATGTAAAATTCATAGATAGATAATTTAAACAGAAATTATAGATATTTTCTCAGTACTTAATGAAAAACACTAAAGATATGAAAATGATGGCTGAAAGTAAAAAAGATTGGAGGATAGAATGATAATGGTATATACACAGTAGTTTTATATATACATAAATATAATTACATATAGCATACAACTGTGTACATATAGTTATTTATACATGTATATAGGTGGTGTTTATATACTAATATATACATGTAATATGTATACATGTACATGTATACATGTAATATGTGATGCTTTTGTCTGTATATATAAATACATGTGTGTAATTATATGCTATTATATATGGCACAAAAATGAAAAAGTGCAGTGCTAGTCTCTCAGTTGTGTCCAACTCTTTGCTACTCCATAGATTGTAGCCTCCCAGGGTCCTCAGTCCACAGAATTCTCCAGGCAAAAATACCAGAGTGGATAACCATTCCTTTCTCCAGGGGATATTCCCACCCCAGGGACTGAACCTGGGGCTCCTGCATTACAGGCAGATATTTTATCTTCTGAGGGACCAGAGAAGTCCGTATATGGAATATATACACATATAATTGTATTTGTTTTATAGATGTTAATGTAAACAGAAAATTTTTGAAGGAGAACCTAGAGCAGGTAAACAATTATCAACAGAGAAAATTTCCAAGATAGGATGAAGGTCTTTAATCATCATATTAAAAGTCAAATTAATGAAAAGAAATCGACTCCTAAACTTATCTTCATGTTTGAGTCACTATTTTTAGTTGCTCACTGAAGAATCCACTCTTGCCAGTTTAAACAGAAACAGGATTTATTGTAGAGCATTCTGCAGTCCACAGGCTCTTCTGACAGGACTGAGAGTACTCTACATAACCAGAAATAATTTCTACCGCCTGACTTTCCTTGCAGCACAGCAGATTTTAGAATCCAGAGCTCTGTCATCATCACCCACAAGGAACCAAGATGAGCAAGCACCACATTCATGAGATGATTCTTCTGGGTGCAGCTGCCCTTCCCCCCACCCCCTCACCCCCAGCCCATTTTCCTTACTTCTGACTTTGACTCTCATGAGTTTGCATCTGATTGATGGAACTTGAGTTTTGTGCTGATACTTTGCTGGAAGAAAGCTGGAAGATGAGGGACTTTCTGGCTTTTGCCTTGTTTGGGAAGACAGGATCCACATTTTGGCTAATTACTAAATATATTTCTAGGAAGAGTGATCACAGATGTTGAAGTCCTCACATAATATTAGAATGTTGACTACACGTGTTGACAGTTTTAGTACTTCAAATAAAATGGAAAAGGAAAAAGTACTGGATGTTTCCAGATGAGAGCATTAAAAAAAAAAAAAGCAGATTGGTTATCATCAAAGGAAAATATCAAAGGAATTTAAAATACTAAAACTTAGTAGAGTTATGTCTATAGAGTTGTGAGAGGAAAGTATTGAATCAATTATTCTGTTAGAAGCATCTTGTATGAATGGATTTATTCAGTGTTCTCCCAGAACTGGAAGCTTGAAAGCACACAAGGATATTTGACACCTGAGAGGAAGGATTGAGATGCTGAAAACAAATTTAACTTATTTCCAGCATTCATGGGCTGTGA